TATGAAAAGCTTGGTTATGAATGTGACAGATGTGAAATTGGCACTCGTGTGACTTTGCTAAATCCAAAATATCTGCTTGTAAACATTAACAGAGGCATTTCTGAGTATTTTACTCTACTATTACAGTAAAACGATTCACTATTTTGGTGAAAAGCTAACTCGAGGTTGACATTTGCATGGAATTGCTCAGTAACTGTTTGTTTTTGATCCACACAGTATGAAGAGAGCCGCGTCGCTCGGCTACCTCAACAGTAATGCAGACAACGAGGACGACTCTTTCCAGGTGAGCAGAAGCATCAGCTCAGAGACTGCTTTCTTTATTTAATGAAGTGATTCTGATTGGTGGATGTTTTATTTTTAGGGTTCGGGGGCCGTGCGAGCGCTGAAAAACAGCAGACCGCTGAGCTCAAGCACAGTGGAGCTCTACAAAAGCACAGACCAGTGAAAACACACTTGCAGACTCGCTCTCGCTGCATTTGTGGGACGCTTTGGTTCATGTGGGTTTAATCGGGAATGTTTTATGCTTTTAGTTTACATTGTCACGCACTCTTATGAATCATGCATGCTTTATAGGCTTTTACAAAAACAATGGATCAACTTAAAGGGATAGTTCACCCAAAAATGAAAATTCCCTGTTAATTAAGATGTAGGCAACTCTAGAACCGCCACAGGGTCAATAAGACCTTCAATAAAACATTCAAGCCTCCCAGTCAATGACTTTTACTAAAACGGTGTCATTTACAATTCCCAGACGTTAAATTGATCAGATAAAGCTTTAAAAAACCTGTGCATTTACACCTATAAGCGCCAGCGTTGGTCAAATTTGTATTTTTAGCTGCTTATGTTTGGACTCGCTGAGCAATGACTTTCACCTTCACTGACTGAATTAGAGGTTATAATAAATAAATAAATAAAAGTCATGATGAGTATCATAGATATACATATTAGATATCACATACAGGTCTGGAGTATGCGTTAATACTGCCGCCATATTGGTCAGGGCTCCAAAGTCATTCAACCTCACTAGTCAAGACTAAAGCCAATCTGAAGATGCTGGACTTCAGCGCTGCATTCGGGTGTAGTAATCACCAAACATAGTAAACAAAGCATAAGGGCAGAACATTTGATAGCTAAGATTCGTTCACTTTTTACGATTTTGTATGTTACGAACTTTTGTGCTCAAGGAGTAACTAGTGATGGGCAAAGCGAGGCTTCATGAAACACTGAAACAGTCGAAGCAAATGTGACGACGCTTCGAAACGTTTCGAAACCTGTCTCTACAGTGACACCTAGTGGTCATTTTTTGGTGTATTGCTCTGGTTCAAAAATCCAGGGTGATGCAGCTATAGGTGTCAGTTTGAATTTCTCTGTTCGTGTAACGTGTTTTGTTTCAACATTGGTCTGACATTCGAATGAACACTATAATTATGTCTCGTTTTGGTCAAAAAAAGGAACATTATTAAAATACATCTAGTCAAAGTTTTAGAGATTTGGGATTCGAACTCGGACATTTGCAGCACAGTAACTCTGTAAACACACACAGGCCACATGAGAGAAGATATCTTTCCCAACCCCGCCAGTCAAACGCAGATTCCCCAGGGCTGCGTCTGAAACCGCATACTTCCATACTATACAGTACGCTAAAATCAGTATGCGAGCTGAGTAGTGTGTCCGAATTCATAGAATTGGAAAATCAGTATGGGAGAAGTACCCGGATGACTTACTACTTCCGGCGAGATTCTGGAGTGCGCATCCCATGCATGCTGCGCTATCCCATGATGCCCCGCGAGAGAATTCATGAATGGGAGTGAAGCGACGCAACTGAAGCAGGTAGGTCACGTGACCATGACAAAATGGCGAATGTAGTACGTCCGAATTCCATTCATACTTTTCACATTCATACTGTATAGAACGTACCTTTCTAACGGCCGAGTAGTACGTTTAGATTCAAATGCAGCACCTACTGAGTAGTAGGCGGTTTCGGACGCAGCCCAGGTCTCGTGACCTCAGTGTTTTGGATCATGCTTCGGTGAAATGCTTCTAAACATTTGCACTTTGGGATCTCGAAACTGTGTCGAGACGTCAGTTTCACGTCAGTCATCCCAACAAGTAACATTCATTCATTCATTCATTCATTTTCTTGTCGGCTTTATTTATCCGGGGTCACCACAGCGGAATGAACCGCCAACTTATCCAGCAAGTTTTTACGCAGTGGATGCCTTTCCAGCCGCAACCCATCTCTGGGAAACATCCACACACACACATTCACACACACACACACACTCATACACTACGGACAATTTAGCCTACCCAATTCACCTGTACCGCATGTCTTTGGACTGTGGGGGAAATCGGAGCACTTGGAGAAAACCCACGCGAACGCAGGGAGAACATGCAAACTCCACACAGAACTGCCAACTGACCTAGCCGGGACTCGAACCAGCAACCTTCTTGCTGTGAGGCCACAGTGCTAACCACTGAGCCAACATGCTGCCAAGACAAAAATTATTTTTTTTTCTAAATTGTATAATACAGGGATTTCCCAGAGATGGGTTGCGGCTGGAAGGGCATCCGCTGCGTAAAAATGTGCTGGATAAGTTGACGGTTCATTCCGCTGTGGCGACCCTGGACTTATAAAGGGACTAAGCCGACAAGAAAATGAATGAATGAATAATACAGTGAATAAATCCACTTCTGTGGCTCCTGCTCAACTGTAATTCAGACTCAACATTGCATATCTTGCGATGTGACTATTGCCGATGCGCACACTGCGATATCCATGCTGGAACTTGACCTGATGACTGCTGTGAGAAGCTTGAATTATGAGGGATTTTAACCCTACAGAGGGAAATCCACCTGGCTCCTTCTCTCAGCTATCAGATATCCTTCTGACACATATTTAGAGGTGAAATTTGACCTCTCGTCAACAAAAAAAAAAAAGGCAAAAGAAAGCGTGTGCACTCGCTTTGTTCAGCCAGAGGTGTTGTGTTTCTGCTGACCTGATTCCTCAAGCCTGCACGTTTATTTTCATTTCAGTCGCTCATTCATTATTATGTTATGAAGATGTCCTAATTCATATCTGCTGGTGTTTCTCTCTGTGTGTGTAATTTTTGTACTTTTGCATTTTTTTTTTTTTCATTTGAAAATTTTAAGTGATTTATTGTCTGGGTTGGTGCTGTATTGACCATTTTGATAGATGTAAACAATAACAACCCAGATAGCAGAGAATTCTGGCCCCAGATACATGGGCCAAATGTAAAATGTAGTATTTGGCCCAGATGTTAATAATTGATATATGTGGCCTATCTTGACCCACATCAAAGAGCATAGAATCACCAAGAGGCGACACTCTAGTGCAATTTGGGAAACAGCCACTAGATGGCTGCCATTTTAGAACGAAAACTCCAACAGAACAACAGCACATTATAAGTCTGTAAAATAAACTATTAAAAGTGCTGATGATTGTGATAGTAAGTGTTGTATTGTCGTCTTTCAGGTTGTATCCCAGCTTTAATGCATTTTTTAAACAGATAAATAAAAAACAAAGCAGCTGTTCGCCATCGCGACAGCAATAAGATTCAATGTACAGCCGATCGCTTTCACTCCAAAATAGCGAAATTCAGGGCTGTTGCTGGGCGCTGCTGTTGCAATGGAACAATTTTTTTTCTCTTCATGGATAAAATATGGTAAATCTTATGGTTTAATAAGAATAAATAGATTTTTGGAAATCACCAGGCGACCATGACCATGGCGACCATGTTGTCGTCCATGTGAGAGCAGTTCTCTTTTAAAACATACTTAGAGACTAATTTTACTTTACTTTTAGGTTATAAGTAGAAACAAACAAATATTTTACAAGAAATGCGTAGTGTCGTGTGAGCACTTACATCTGCTGGTTTCAGACCGCTAATGAACATTTTTCCGTTTGGCTTTGGAGCGAACGCGCATTCATAATGGTATGAACCCTGACGGGGGTGGTCAATGTTTATTTATATGAGCTATTATTTTAATTATTACACCATTTATTAATATACAGATCTTTTTCTAACTATTTAAAAAGCTAATCCAACATACATCTTGTTTTGACGTCCTTCACGGGGGTTCAAGCGTTAATTACCAATAATTCGGTCAACCCCTTCCCCCAGACCCCCCTTTAATTCACTTGTCTTTTTCAACATGACTGATTCCATTCTAGAATACTATTTATCAGAGAAAATATGAAATTCATATAGCGTATTTGCCATATGCCATTTAAATAAGTTAGTCAATAAATCCATATTCTGCATAAATTAAACATTAAATGTATAATTATGCAAATAAATAAATGTATATTAAAACAATCCACAAATTCCTGCACAAATAAATATTTAATTAATTAAAAGTGCGGGCAGGTAAAAATTTAAATGAATTACGTGAATGTTTATTCATTCTCTCAAATGTATTTATTTATTTATTTTTATTGACGTATTTATTTGCTTATTTTGAAAATCCCTTTCATTACGGCAAAGTTTCACTAAATTGTGAGGAGAGAACACCTCCATTTAATTTTAAATGACACTTAAACACAAAAAAAATAATATATAAGTCATTATAACATCTTAAATATCTGTCTAGTCTAGGATAAAATAATAAATAACCCTGTTGTTTTGGACTACTGAAATAAGTAATCACTGCGGCTCTAAAATCCCGCCTTCCTATGGGCCAATCGGATGTCAGGAATTGCAAACGTGCGTGTGTTTGACAAGCAGAACGTCTCTTTGATTGGCTAAAAAGAAATAACTCCTCCCCCAGTTTGTTCATCAGGTGAGATTTGTCACGACTGCTTTTTCAATAAAACATGTTTGCTATGACATTGTATGCTTGTTTTCCCCCATAAAAGATAATAAGCAACACAGAGTAACTACTCTGAAACTTCGTAATATGTTTGTAACCATGCGGAGCCGCGCATGATAGGGCGGTCTTCCACGCATGCGCAGTGTGAGGCTGTAAAATCCCCAGCGCTTTAAGCTGTGTCGTGCGTTTGTTGTGTCTGTCGGGTAAGTAGGTCATGAATTATTATTATCATAATACATTGCGCTAAATATAAAGTTACCGCGTGAACGATAGACCTAATAAATATGAAGCCTTTGGCATGTTTGATTTGTGCACAGGGCGTCATATATGTTCAATAATGTGTACTATTTCCGTGTTCTGCTCGAGCTGGCAGCTAAATATCGATAATAAAGTCATTTAATTTTTAATTTTGCCGTTTAAAACGTGCAGTTTTAGGTGTCGGTGTGTGATTTGTGTGTTTGTGGTGCTGCACTTGCTTCAGTTTGACGTTTGACTCCTTTATTATTATTATTTTATCCATATTCATATCAGTTTTCATTGTATTTATTCAATAACATGCACTGTATATTTGTTTTGATGACATTTCCTGAAATATGCTAACACATCACGATGTTTTCAAGGGAAAAGGCCTATTGTTTACTTGTGTTTCGCGTATTGTTGTATGATTGTCGATCGGTTAAACTTTAAGATGGCTACGTCATCATGTTATTATTAAAATATGCTGGGTTAATATACTAATATAACTGAACTGGTTACAAGATATGTATTATGTATTTCGATCAATATCTTATCTCCATGGTGATGAACTGAACTGGTAACGTTTATATGTGTATTAGTGGGTCAAACTTCCTTCTGGTGACAATATCAGGAAATATAACTATAGGCAAGTACTTCATGCTGTTGAGCACAAGATTGGGGTAAAATTTGTTTATATTCAGACATTTGTACATATTTGAACAGTGACGACTATATTTATATTGTTTACCACAGTACTTTGAATATTCGGTCTGAAATGACATGTAATTATAACAATATTAGCATTTAATCGAATATGAACAGAGTTATACTACAGTCATTTACTGCTAATATGATTTATATGATTTGATTTCACAAATTCTGCTTTATAAAAATTAGATTTTTAAGTAGAAAGTAGAATGTGTGAACATAAAACCAATTTCACACCAATTCACACTCATATTTCATGCTCTTTGAGTACAATATTGAGGTAAAATCACATTTGTTCATTTTTTTATCAGTGACGACTAAATTTATATCGTTTACCATGCTATTTTGAATATTTAGTCTGAAGTTGCATGTAATTATGACTTCAAAACAACATTAGCTCTATTTAATTGACTGTGAACAGCATAATATTACAGTCATGTATTGCTTATATGATTTATCTGTTTTAAATGAGCAAATTCTGCTTTATAAAATTATATTATTAAGGAGAAAGTCCAATTGTGTGAATATAAAACTAATTTTACATTAATTCACACATATTTCATGCCATTGAGTACAAGATTGAGATGAAGTTGGTTCAGACATTAGTTAATTTTTGACCAATGACAACATTAGCACTATTTAATTGATTGGGCTACGTTGTATTACAGTAATTTACTGCTAATATGAATGACCTAAATTGTGAATTCGCAAAGACTACTTTCTGATATTATATTATATTATTAAGGAGAAAGTTCGGATGTGTAAATTATAAAACCAATTTCACACCAATTCAGGCACATATTTCATGCCATTGAGTTCTAGATTGAGGTAAAGTTGATTTTATATTCAGACATTTGTTCATTGTTGACCCATGACAATTAAATTAATATTGTTTACCTCAATACTTTGAATATTCGGTCTGAAAACGCATGTGAGTATAACAATATTAGCATTTAATTGACTATGAACAGGATTATACTACAGTCATTTACTGCTAATGTAATTTAATTTCTTAATTCTGCTTTATGAAATTATATTATTAAGGAGACAGTCTGAATGTGGGAATATAAAACCAATTTACACCAATTCACACTCATATTTCATGCTCTTTGAGTACAACATTGAGTTAAAATCAGTTTTATGTTTGCACATTTGTTCATTTTTAAACAGTGACGACTATATTTATATTGTTTACTACGCTACTTTGAATACTCGGTCTGAAATCGCATATCATTAAGACTTTAATACAGCATTAGCTCTATTTTATTGACAGCAATGTTGTACATTTTGACTGTCATTTACTGCTAATATGAATTACCTACAAGTTTAATTCACAAAGACTACTTAATGAAATTCTATTATTAAGGAGAAAGTCCAAATATGTGGATGTAAAACCAATTTTACACCATTTCACACTAGAGATGCGCGGTTGGCGGTTATAGCCGCGGACTCCGCGGATAAACCGCGGATCGGGCGGATGACGTTACGAAAAAATAATATTTTAATTAAATTCGGGCGGGTGGTGGGCGGTTGTACTGTTTTTATATTCATAGCTGGCGCACCAACGAAAAAGCCTGACTGACTTCACAGAATGGGAGGAGGAATCGGATACATTAATTCTGGATGAAGTGTACAGAAGTATTCCTCTACAAACTTCCGTATAGACGGATCAGCAGAGGAAAATCTACTTTCCTTTTGGGAGAAATAAGGCCAGGCATTCCCACGACTACAGCACCTTTCCAAGAGAATTCTATGCATTTCAGCAACAAGTGCTGCGAGCGAGCGCTCCTTCAGTGCAGCAGGGCGCATTATGGCTATGCAGGTGCTCCCGTCTGAATCCTGACACTGTAGATGCTATTTTATTCCTGCATTGTGCCAAGAAAAAATCAAACTAGACCTAAGGTCAGGCATATTAAACCAATTAGCCTATGTTATTTAGGTTACACATATGTTCAATATAAACTTTTGAGTTCGGTCAGCTGATAATTGTACGTTCATATTGGTTTAGCCTATTCTATTCTAGACATGTTGGCCTCGCTTTGACGTTCCGAGGCTTAGGTTATTTTGCCAGAATTTCTTTGTCGCAAATTTAATGGCGTAGTATTTCGTTATGCTTCAAGTTTGAGGGGAATGGGGATGATCCTAAGTCCATGGGTTATTGGGGCTCTTGTCATACATGCACTTTAGCCTGGTCAGGTTCGCTCAAAGAGGGATGGCAAATCTATTTTTCTAATTTAATTTCTAATTGTGGGGGTGACTGAACCTACAAGGCTAAGGCACGATATGACGTTTTAATTAAAAAATTTTCAACTGTTTGCCAAAGCATGCGACAATAGCCTATGCCTACATTAAGATAGCTATTTATGTTAATATTTTTTTTTACTGCCTGTTGTTTCTTTTGGCATATAAAATAGGTATTGTCTGATAGAGATATCAATAAAGGTTAATCTGTGTCGCAGAACTGTGTTGTTTCCGATTTCTACAAGCTCAATAACATCCACAGCAAAAAAAAAAAAATAGTCGAAAAACTGTGCCCATTAATTAGATGTGCAAGGCAAGCAGGTACGTTTTTGGGGTTGCTATGGACAACTACAAATGCAAACATTATTAGGCTATAATGTAAATGACTTATTCTATCTATTTACTAAAAAATTAAGTGAAATAGGCATTTAGTAGTAGGCTAAATAGCAGCATGTTGAAATGATGTGTCAATGCGTTTTCTATTAGGCTACAATAAAAAAAAGTTGTATAGTACAGTGCGTTTAATTTAGGCTATTTATTTATTTTTGTCCCTGTGCGCCGATTGGAGACTGAGTTCACTGCTGATATTCTGAGAGCTCGGGTGCTTCTCATTTCTTATTTGTGCATCCTCGTTTCCTTTCCTTGCTTTCTTTCCTCGTGTTTCCACCCCACCGGGATAACGTTACGAGGGAAGGACGCAAGGAAAAGACTGAAGGACCGAGGAATCGAATCAAGTGAAAAGACACGTCTTCGTATCTTTAGCGTCACTTCAAAGCGTCGTCAATTAATGACTTGCACGTTTGGATTAACTGCATGTCTACATTAAAGTCATTCTCTATTATATAATGATCAATAAAGAAACATTAATTTAATAAAAAAAGGAATAAGCCATTCAAATAAAGAGCCCAATCAGCAGGTGGCGGGCGGGTGCGGTTTTAAAAATTGGTCAAAAATGTTAGTGCGGATGGATGGCGGACGGATGATGAATTTTGTCATGTGGTTGCGGATGAAATAATAGCCCATCCGCGCATCTCTATTTCACACACATATTTCATGCTCTCTGAGTACAAGATTGAGGTAAAGTGGATTTTTATATTCAGTTTAATTGACTATGTTGTATATCTGAGGTGATCATTGAGAGACTTGTTGTTCAGCTGTGGGAAATAGAAATCGTTTCTAAACTATACATCTTAAACTCCTTTTAATAATCGAAAATATTGCTTCTATGGCGTGCCGTTGCTTTTATTTACAACACAATTTGAATCAGCCTTTGTTGGTGTCGTCAATCTGGCAACCTGCTCTTGCGTGTATTTTTTTTCACCAGTGGGGGAACAGGCAGACAGAAAGTAACTCAAACATGTGTGGAGCAAGTAATGGATGAATACATTTTTAATTGAACCGAGGTGTTGCTTGTTTCGGTGATCGATCTCCGCCTATGTGTGTTGTGTCTAAAGAGCTTCTGGTTGACGTCTGGACGATGGCTCTGATCTCTTTCGAGGATCTGGAGGGATTGGATGACGAGCAGGTGGACGATGATGTCACTGACAGCTCTGAGCCAATGGATGATGAGGAGCAGGACCGAATGTACGCCCACTGGCAGGCGGTGGGACGAACGCATCACGTGGCGGTGCCTACAGGTACGAACACTGAGATCCAAGATTTAACTAGATATTCTTCAAGACACTAGTGTTCAGCTTAAAGTGACATGTAAAGGCTTCACTAGGGTAATTAGGGTAAAGTTAGGGTAATTAGGCAAGTCATTGTATAACAGTGGTTTGTTCTGGAGTCAATCCAACACTAATATTGCTGAATATTAATAATATTGAGCTTAAAATGGGTTTAAAACAATTAAAAACTGCTTTTATTGTTGTCGAAATAACACAAATAAGACTTTCTCCAGAAGAACAAATAATAGAGGAAACACTGTGAACATTTCCTGAATCTGTTCAACATCATTTGGGAAATATTTGGAAAAAAAACAAGATCAATAAATATCAGTTCAATTGTATATACAAACACGTTTTGTCAGTGATTTGTCCCAGAAGCACAGCTTTTCTAAACATACACATCTGAAATGGTTCAATTATAATAAAGAAGAGATCTCGCCGTTTCCATGGAAACTGAGCAGAGGAGCAGATGACACTGATCCCCGACCAGTTTACTCAGTGAAGTCAAACCACATATGGTTTTAAATATGTGAGGAATTTTAGGCTGCTTTCACACCTAGGCTTTTGTTTGGGAACCTGTCTCGTTTGCCCAGTTAGCGCGGTTCGTTTGGCATATGTGAATCCAGCAATCGGGCTCGGATCCACGCCAAAACAATCGCTGTGAGATCGCCTGAATGAGGTGGCCTCGGCTCGATTGAAACGAACTCTGGAGCGGATCAATTGAAGTGAGAAAGCAATACAGTTCGGGCCCGGCTATATCACAGTGTATTATGGATATGTAATAGGCATACGGCTATATGAAGAGAGAATTATAAGTAGGGTGGGAGGTCATTCCAGACATCACAAGTCTCCCACAAATGCACAGAGGCTCCCGGATGCCCGCAAATGAGTGATAATCTCCCGGACATCGCGGAGAGCGGAACTCTGCAAAATAAATGGTGAAACTGACCAATGTGAGGAGAGTTTACTCACATGTGACTTGTTTTAGCTCTTTTGGTCTGTTTAGAAACTTTGCCGTGTGAAAGCGAACCGCTCAAAGAGCAACACTGTAACAATTTTAATCCCCGTTTCGGAACAACTGAATCGATTTAGCTAAGGGTGCTTTCACACCTGTGAAACGATTCCGTTGTTCCGAAACGGGGATTAAAATTGTTACATTGTAACAATTACAATTACAATGTTACGATTTTATTTTATTTCTGGTAGAGATGAGAGCACCAATAGAAGAGATGACGCGGAGGAACCAGAGCGCAGAGCGAGAGCAAGTGCCTTTTGTCACCATCTCCAGACATGAGAAGGTAAAATTGTCCACTTCTGTATATGATAGAAGATCAAATATATGATGGAGCCTGAGGGATGTGTTTTTTTTTTTGGGAGGGGGGGGGCAAACCAATATCATATATTGATTTAATTTTCTTCAGCTTAGTCTGTTAGTTATCAGGGGTTGCCACGGTGGAATGAACCGCTAGCTACTCCAGCATATGTTTTACACAGCGGATGCCCATCCAGCTGCATATTTATGTCTCTGTGGTTAGTAGTTTTGGAAAATATAAACAGACATTTCAGAATAATCTTAACATATATTCTCACTGTCAATTTATGTTTATGTTAAACTTGTAAATAACTCATGAAAGAATAAAGTTACGTTAAAACCAAGCACACTATTGTTTTTCTTGTGAAGTTCCCAATAAATTTGACGTGTCACATGACCCTCTTCCTATTAAAAAAAAACTAAAGTTGTATCCAAAATGGCCACCATGGTCACCACCTATCTTGAAAAGTTTGCTCCCTCACATATACTAATGTGCCACAAAAACAGAACGTTAATATCACCAACCATTCCCATTTTGTTAAGGTGCATCCATATAAATGTCCCACGCTGTAGTTGCTAAAAATCTATTTTCAAGAGCTACAACCAGAGATGGGTAGAGTATCCAAAATCTATAATCAAGTAAAAGTATGAGTACTTGGTTAGTTTTACTTGAGTAAAAATGTCCGCATCTTAAAAGTTACTCGAGTAAAAGTAAAAAAGTCTGATGACAAAATTATTCCAGTAAATAGTTACTTGTTACTTTTCATTATATATATATATATTAGGCACGATAAACGTTTTCAAGGTATATCGCAGTTTGGAAAAGTGATGGTTTTAAACCCGCCAAGTTTCTAAGGTTTGTGTAAGGTTTTTTTATTTACGTTTTATTTATTTATTTTTTTAGGACAGTAGTATCTCCAGCAGAAAAGATATCCAAAGATGCAGTTTTAAATAGTAAATAAATCTGTGTTTTTGAAACAAATGAAGACAGCAAAAGTCAATGACACTTACCACTACGTGTTATTTTTAGGTTGGAGCTGTCATTCATGTGTTGCGATGTCAGCTCGATGCGTGCATCGCATTATGAAACTATTCTTGTTGACATTTTGGAGTAAAAACATGGCAAAAATAAAATATAATAAAATTATAATATAAATAAATAATATTAATTAAATTATAATATAAAAAATATATATATATATATTTTATTTATTTTTTATTTTATTTTTATTTATTTATTTTTTTTAATTACATTATAATTATAAAAACATAGACTAAACAGGCAGGGTGACCTGGTCCGATCAACTCACTGCTTAGACAGAATTCTCGGAACCGCAGATGGCGACATGGCAAAAATATAATATATATTATATGAATATAATATAAAATATAATAAAAATATAATATAAAATATAATATAAAAATAAATAAACTTGCATGTCTTCCTAAACTTCGGTCATTATTCTAACATAGGCGCGCGCACTCTTACTGAAAGCGGGAGACGTGTCTCTATAGCAACCTCACAACCTGTCCAGTGCGGCACATTGCGAAATTTGCAAACAAGCCATATGGATCATATTTATTATCAATTGACAGTAACGGAGGAACGCCGCCAAATGTAGCGAAGTAAGAGTGCTGATTTCTCTCTAATAATTTACTGGAGTAAAAGTACACGTATGTAATTGTACTCAAAGTACTCGTTACCCAATAATTTTGCTCAAGTAAATGTAACGAAGTAAATGTTTCTATCCACCTCAGACTACAACAAACTGCTCAAGCATAGTGTTTCAGGGTTTTACTGATAGAAATTCTGTAGAAATTGAAATGATTTGAGGATGGGGTGGTGTTTTATTGGCTGCAGATTAGTATGAATAACTAAGGCGTTTGTGGTTTAGATGAGGAAACAGCAGGCTGAGCTCAAGTGTTTCTCTGAGCTTGTGCTTTATGTGGTTTTGCTCTGATAATCAGCCTGCGGTTCAAACCGACAGCACTGTTTTGTTCTGCTTTTGGTCCATTTGCAGCTTAATATGTGTAAAGTTGTTATAATTTCATTTGATCAGGAACCGTTATTTGGAGATGATTATTGTTTTGTCTCCCTCAGTGGATTTAATCAGTGTGTTGAATCAGTGTTAGACACTAAAGTGCACTCTTATTTTCAGTCCTCAGAGCTAATGGGCATATTTAGCTGTGGTTTATTAATGTCGGTTGTGTTGAAGTTTGTTATGCGTGTTTTTCAGCTCGGCGAGGTGTTGTATGAAGAACGTGTGTATCCTCCTGGGAAGTGGGCTTGTGTGAGTAAAGCAGACGCGCTGTATGAGCAGAGCATCTCCAACGGCTTCATGAAACTCATGCGCTTCATCTGCAAGGAGAATTCAACAGGTCAACACACACACATACATGCATACAGGGGTTGGACAATGAAACTGAAACACTGGCCAGTTTAGTGTTGGAAGTTTGATGGCTAAATTTGAGCAGCTGGTGGCCAATCTTCATTGATCTTTATTCCAGCAGTAAGAGCAGAGTGTGAAGGTTTCATTAGCTGGGTAACAGCACAGTTGAGCTTATAATACTGCAATTCACACAACATAATAGGTGACATATCAGGAGACAAAAGAGAACAGATTGTTGGTGTGCATCTTGCTGGCGCATCTGTGACCAAGACAGCAAGTCTTTGTGATGATCAAGAGCCGAAGTATCCAGACTGATGTCAGCAAACCACCAAGAAGAAGAACCACATCCAACAGGAGGAACTGTGCACATCAACTGATGTCTATATGATATAGACCAGGGGTCCTCAATCTTTTTCACTTCAGGGCCCACTACATCCTCTGAACATTTTTGAAACCCACATCTAAGAAAATGCGGATTTTAAATCTTTATTCAAAACATTTATTTTGCTTATACTGTTAATGTCTTGTTTTACAGCATTTGAAAAAAAAAAAAGAAACTCTTTATATTCATTTATTAAATATATATATATATATATATATATATATATATATATATATATATATATATAGCAACGCAGTGGGTAGCACTTTATTTATATTTATTTATTCATATATATATATATATATATATTTTTTTTTTTATAAATATTTTTATATATAAATTTGATTTATGTTTATATATGTTTATATAAATTTATATTTATTTATTTATTCATATATATTTAATCTTATATATTTTATATATAAAAAATATTTATATATATATATATACATATATATATATATATATATATGTTTATATAAATTTATATTTATTTATATATATATATATATATATATATATATATATATATATATATATATACATATACATATACATATTTATTTATATATGTATATATTTTTATTTATTTATTCATATATATTTATTTATATATAATAGAGAGAGAATTTTAAGAGAGAAAATTAAATATAGAATATATAATAATTATATTTATTTTTTAAAACACACACCGATTCAAAGCTCCTAAACTCTTCAGGTAATTTTTACAACTGCAGAGTTTTTGGCTTTTTCTTCAATAAATACAGATGTCACGAATGGGAGAGAATCACACAAAATGCAAAAATCCAAGTGCAGCAATTTATTAACAAAAAGACAAAGGTATCCAAATAGACAGAGATTTCTAAGAGACAAAGGTTTCCAAATTTTGCACAGAACTATAAGCAAGATACAAAAAACTAGATGACCAGACGAAGGAAAAATAAAAAAAAAACGGGTAAATACAAGGACAGGGTAGGAGTGCTAACAAGAGCTAACAAAAACGAACAAAAACAGGAATCCAAGAATAATCGTAATACAAAAAACTAGATAACCAGACAAACATACCAGACGTGAGGAACTAACAAAATCCTAAGGCAACTAAAAGAGAACAAGAGGGTTTATAAAGACAGGACTAAATTAACAAACACGAAACAGCTGTAACATAATCAGTAATGCAATGGATTATGGGAAATGAAGTGAAACTACAAAACTAGTGCCCTCAAGTGTCCAAACTAGGGCACTGCAACAGGTGTGACAACAGATGCCTGGAATTGGACTGAGTACTATTCCTCTATTGATCGTATCCATTACAACAATGACAGAGACACACGGATGAAGCAGAGGTCCAGGTCAAAAACGCCAAGTCAGGCTATTTTACTGTGTTTGTGGTGGAGTTCATTAGTCCTGCTTTGTTTATCTGTGTATGTGTGTTCTCTCTGTGTGTGCAGGCCGGTACCTCGGCATGTCTGTGCCTGTAGTGAACGAGATCACGATGGCGGACGATGGCACAAACTTCATGAAGGACGTGCTGACGGCGTATTACCTGCCCGCGGAGTACCAAGACGTCCCGCCACAGCCCACAGACCCCGACATACACATCATCCAGAGGGACAGCATCAGGGTCATCACCAGGTACACACACACACACACACACACACACATAAAGGTGAACAGTACAGTGAGGAAATAAGTGTTGAACGCTTCCGGCTTTTTTCCTGCTAATAATACTTCTGAAGGAGCTGTTGAGTCATTTTCCTTTGGCTTAGTCCCTTTTTCATCAATGAGGTCACCACAGCGCAATGAACCGCCAACTATTCCAGCATATGTTTTACACAGTGGATGCCCTTCTGTACTGGGAAACACCCAAACAATACAAACATAAAACAAATCAGAGAGATGAGTTGTGTGTATTAACAGTTAAATGGCACAAGGAGAAAGTGCTGAACTGCTGAAGTGTGTTTAAAACCTTATATTGAAGTCTTTTTTTGGCGCTGGCAGCTTAAAGACGCCGGAGACGCCAGACAATCAAGTCACATGCATTGCTCAGGTGTGAGTTTCTCACAGACTTCAACAGAGAGTCCAATCTTGATGCTTCTGTGGGTCTCGTCTATCAAATCTGAGCTTTATCTTGTATTCTCTATTGGATTGGGGTCAGGTGATTGGCTGGGCCATTCTACAGCTTGATTTTCTTTCTCTGAAAGCATCTGAGAGTCTCCTCGGCTGTGTTTTGGCTCATTGTCGTGCTGAAATGTTTCATCTTCATCCTCCTGCTGATGTAGATGATGGACTGAAGCAGCTGATGTTCATTTACACTGAGGAAGGGCAGAGCGATGCTGAAGAACTACTGAGAGATTTCAGCTGCTGTCTGGGCTTTCCATGTCTTTGTACACCTCCCTTTCTTCATGTGTTCAACACTTTATCCCTGTGTCATTTCATTTAATTACAGAACTTCATTGGTAAACTAATTAGCTTTCTTTTCTGTGCATATATGGATTTATTTGGTTGTTATCAACATCTGAGTGAACATTTTAAATCAACAGCACCTTCAGAAATATGTTTCTTCCATTATAATCACATTTTTGACAGCATGTAATCATGCATTCCTGATTGTTGCTGGCTTTCCCGCAATTTGACAACATTTTTTGACAGTGTATATGACATTATGAAGTAATACAGCTCTTTCTGCTGTTGATCGTAGGGTGTTTTTCGGGACCACGACGGAGGAGACCATCTCTCGTCAGATCAGCAACCTGTGGGAGCTCCTGGGCAACTCTGAGGATCTCCTGCGGGATCGCTACATGATCGCCGTTTACGAAAACCCCGGCGTCCCACAGCGCAGAAACGAAATCTGGTTCATCCGCCGCGGCCCGTAAACACAACGCAGAGTTTCACAGTCTAAACCGCTCTATCCTTTAGTGTTGTCGTGAGTGTGATGCTGAAAAACGTGCCGGTGAGTAAAGAGACCACAGTTATTTACACCGTAGATATGATTATAAATGCACTGCAAATGGGATGGAGGATTCCTGCTGGCATTATTTTAACCGTATAAACAAACGTTTGAGAATATTCATCAAACTTTCTTGTGTTTTTTTATTGTTTTCATCTAAATGGTAATGTTTTACAATACTTGAAATTGTATTTTTATTTCTGCTCCTTAAAGGTTTTCATAGCCCTGTAACCTGGCATTTTCTGCAATTATTTGGATGTTATTATAATAATATTAATGACTGAACTGTGAAGTTAAACTCACTCAATAATGGCATTTTTATTGAATATATTCTGTATATTGATGGAAAAAAGTTCAGAGGAAAACCTTGCAAAAACAATATATATATATATTTTCACTCTTTGTGTGTGTGTCAGTGGTCATTTAAAGAGACGGTTCACCCTTAAAGACAATTCACTCATGATTTACTGTCCTTCAAACGATTATATGAGTTTCTTTCATCTGTCGAACACAAAAGAAGGTATTTTGAAGAATGTTGGAAACCGGTAACCATTGACTTGGTCGGTAAAAAATACTATGGAAGTCAATGGTTACCGGCTTCCAGCATTCATCATTATTCTTAGTCCCTTATTTATCGGTTGTCATCACAGTGGAATGGACCGTCAACTATTCGGGCATATGTTTGACGCAGTGGATGTCCTTCCAGCTGCAACCCAGTACTGGGAAACACCTATACACATTCATTTACACACACTTACACACTACGGTCAGTTTAGTTGATCAGTTCCCCTATAGCGCATGTGTTTGGACTGTGCGGGAAACCGGAGCACCCGGAGGAAACCCATGCGAACATGGGGAGAACATGCAAACTCCACACAGAAACACCAACTAGCCCAGTCAGGACTCGAACTAACGACCTTCTTGGTGTGAGGTGATCATGCTAATCGCTGAGCCACTGTGCCGCTCTAAAAGTGAATTCATTTTCCTTCGGCTTAGTCCCTTGTTTTTCAGGGGTCACCACCGCGGAATGAACCGCCAACTATATTAGTACATGGTTTACGCTAGAATGCCCTATTAGCTGCAACCCTGTACTGGGAAACCCATACACACTCATTCACACACACACACACACGCACTACGGTCAGTTTAGTTGATCAGTTCCCCTATAGCGCGTGTGTTTGGACTGTGGGGGAAACCGGAGCACTCGAAGGAAACCCACACCAACATAGGGAGAACATGCAAACTCCACACAGAAACACCAACTAGCCCAGCCGGGACTCAAACCAACAGCCTTCTTGCTGTGAGGCCACCGTGCTGCCCGGCTTCCAACATTCTTCAAAATATCTTCCTTTGTGCTCAACAGAAGAAATGGATTAAATGCGGTATTCAGTTCTGGGTGAACTGACCCTTTAAACTGTGTGTTGGGAGTTTTGTATTTTGTATTTTTATGTGATCAAACCATGTTTTTCTGACAATCGTCGATCAGAGCTTTTGTGTCTCTGAAACTCATATTATCTTTGTGGGCAGATCATGTTGCTTGCTAGAGGAACGTGTTTACGGGCATGATGGGGGTTCACAATTATCGGATATAGAAACACCGCGGTTTCTGCTCCTAATCAATGGGACCAGATGAGGATGAGTTCTAGAAGTGTGTGTGTGTGTGTGTGTGTGTGGCAAAAATATTGAAGGATACACTGCAAATGCCTTGTTTCAAGTTCAGATATCGAAAACTTCTTAAATCAAGAAGCATTTTGTAGAAAGAAATAAAATTAAATAATACATACAGCTGAAGGCAGAATTATTCGCCCCCCTGTTTATTTTCCCCAATGTCTGTGTATTGGAGAGCACATTTCTGCACATAACTGTGTTAATAACTCATCTCTAATAACTGATTTATTTCCTCTTTGTCATGATGACAGTAAATAATATTAGACTAGATATTCTTCAAGACACTTCTATACAGCTTAAAGTGACATGTAAAGGCTTCACTAGGGTAATTAGGGTAACTAGGCAGGTTAGGGTAATTAGGCAAGTTATTGTATAACGATGGTTTGTTCTGTAGACTATCCAAAACAAATATAGCTTAAAGGGGCGAATAATATTGAGCTTAAAATGCTGTTTAAACTATTAAAAACTGCTTTTATTCTAGCCCAAATAAAACAAATCAGACTTTCTCCAGAAGAACAAACATTATCAGACACACTGTGAACATTTCCTCAATCTGTTCAACATCATTTAGGAAATATTTAAACAAGAAAACAAATTAAAAGGGTGCGAATGATTCTGAATTCAGCTGAATATATGAGCAGTCTGAGATGAGTAGCCGTGCTATATGGCTGTATATCGGCGCTGGTGGGAGGCATGCATTGGCTCGAGTACCTTTGTGTCCCGATATACAGCCTTAGGCCCCGTATACACTAGTGTGTTTTAGTTTTAAAACTGCATTTTAGATCAAAAAGGATCCGCGTCCACACTAGCGTATCACCTAGCGTTTTCTGAACTTATCTCCGTCCACACTACGCCACCAAAAACGTGTATCACGTGACCATTCGCACACTCCGGGCATGAGCATTCTAGTATAAACAGGAAGCATGCTTCACGCTCGGCATTTGGTTATTGTTAGTCAACAAACGCCGGTTGAACGATGAACGTGATGGCAAAGAAAGCAAGAGAGGTATTTTTGTGGACAGACGACGAGGTCGGGTCGTTACTAAACGTAACAAATAAATAACTGCACAATGCCGCCTAAAACAGACAATAGTGCAAACAACGCTCCCATTTCTGTGTCCGTGTTGTTGTTTACAGTGAAGGCTGGTCTGCTGTCTTCCGGTAGCGTTAAAGCCATGTGTTATAGTCATGTGATAGGGGCTTGACGAATAAGGGAAGGATACGCAAAGACACAAAAGCCCCAATCAGGTAGCGAATCTCAGCAGCCCCGCCTCCGTTTTCAGATGTCTCCGTTTTCCCTCATCCACACTGAGACGCAGCAGCAGCGCTTCAGAATGAACACAGCCTCTCCAGTGTTTCCGAAACGCTTCGTTTTCAGCACTCGAAAACTCCAGCGTAGTGTGGATGGATGGTGTAACCGTAGCAAAACTTATGCGCTTTCAAACTAAAACACATTAGTGTAAACGGGGCCTTCGTGTCGATATAAGCAGGTCGCACATCAGATGTAGCGCTCGGCACCGCAACACAGCACGCACATGACATTTGAAAGTATCGCACTCCATACAGGCACATTCACAGGTGGTTTATAATTAAACTAATCAGATTTACCGGTAAAGTCGTTCCAGAAATTTTCTGCATATTTGCCGGTATCACTGTGCGAAACGGGCTAGTATTGTCGCCAGAGCGGCCTCAGCGAACTTTTGACGCTCTCGTCGCCTTCACAACAAACATATACACAACTGTTGACAATACAAGATACAACAAACAAACAATACTCACTCATGCAAAACAATACTAGATAAATACAATCAATCATAACATTCATTCTCCTTCAGCTTAGTCCCTTATTCATCAGAAGTCGCCACAGAGGAATGAACCGCCAACTATTCCAGCACATGTTTTACACAGTGGATGCCCTCCCAGCCAAAACCAAGTACTGGAAAACAAGCACACACACACGCAAACACATACACACACATTCACACACACACACACACACACACACACACACACACTACGGCCAATATAGTTAATCAGTTCCCCTATAGCGCATGTGTTTGGACTGTGGGGGAAACCGGAGCACCCAGACGAAACTCACACCAACACAGCAAGAACATGCAAACTCCACACTGAAACGCCAACTGACCCAGCCGAGGCTCGAGCTCAGCTAACCACTGAGCCACTGTTTTTAGCCGTCTCAAACCCAGATATGCCTTGAACTTCATTAAGGGGATCTGGATCTGTTGGCTCATGTCAGATTGTTGAAAATGTCAGCAAAATACTGAGCAAAAATTGACTTTATTAATGAAAGCAGCACAGTTTTTGTTTATTGTCTGTAAAATGCTTCTTGATTTAAGAGTTTTTCAATATTTAGACTCGAAACTAGACCAAAACTGTGTGTTTTATCAGTCTAAAGCACAGGTGTCAAACTCAGTTCCTGGAGGGCTGCAGCTCTGCACAGTTTAGTTCCAACCCTAATTAAACACACCTGATCAAACTAATTGAGTCCTTCAGGCTTGTTTGAAACCTACAGGTAAGTGTGTTGGAGCAGGGTTGGAACTAAACTGTGCAGGGCTTCGGCCTTCCAGGAATTGAGTTTGACACCCCTGCTCTAAAGCATCAGTGCATTTTGATTTTGTGTTTGATGTCCACACATCGGGCGACTCTTTTACAGCACAGTTTGAGTATTGTTGAACATGATTCCTTGCTTTTGTGACATGTTAATGGCTTAGGTTGTACTTGCTTGTCACAGTATTTTAAAAACCTGCACTCCCCTTCAGCGCCTGTAATAATAATACTGATAATAAAGTTTATTTATAGAGCATCTGGCGTATGAACAGTAGCTTGACGTGCTTTTCAGACAGTTTAATAAATGTATGCAAATAAACAAAAATGTGTTTAAAAAAGAAAAACGTGTGTTTGAGTGTTGATAATGGGATGTTTTACTACACACACACACACACACACACACATCCACTTTTCTCCACAGATTTACTCTGTAAATGGGGGGTGCTGTTGATTATGCAATGCATTTTAAATTGTCACAAATATTTTGACTTTAAACGGGATCTTTTATTTAGATATCACTTTTAAGGGGTGTAAACCCAGTTGTGTTTCAGCAGTGTGTGAATATAAGCAGCCTCTAATGGTGAAAGTGTTTTAATTGTGTTTGTTATAATCAGACTTGATGAATGAAACACTGTGATTGACATTCTCCCTTTGTATGATGTCATCAGAGGGGGAAAGCCCCGCCCACTAGTGACCATCTCTCCCTCATTAGCCTAAACAGCAGCCCTGAGTGAGAAGCAGCCGTCAGCTATTAGTGTCTGAGCTGCTGATGATAATGTCAGCATATACTAAGAGGATTATAGATGTGAGATGTTTCACACAGATGACTTCAGTCTTGTGTTTGAATCTGCCACTATGCTGACACAGGTATTTATAGCTCCGCCTTCTGAAAAAGAGCACTCTCATTTGCATTTAAAGCGACAGTCACTGAAATTAAAGCCTAGAAGGGTCAGCTTCAGAGAGTTATAAACATCTGTGTGCTATTTAGAGCTGAAACTTCACACATACAAACACACACACACTCTAGAGACATCAGAGACGCATTTTACATCTTGCAAAGGGGCATGTTAGGTCTTCTTTAAAAGTCAGACAAACACTTGTAGTTGCACAAACCCATCTTGAATTGGGAATGGCATTTCAGCCACCGAATAATTAAAACGTATGGTGACTTTTGTCCTCAGAACTCCAAATTGTGAGATGTGAACTTGAAATAAAGCCTCTAAACAGAAATAAAGTCTGAAATCTTAGAGAAAATATTGTGATTTCGAGTTTAAAAGTCGTAATTATGACTGTATCTCGCTATTCTGGGATATAAAGTTGCAGTTGTGTCATACAAATGTAAATTTCTAGTTATAAATTTAAAATTCTATGAGGAAAAATTGCAATTGTAAGTTTATATTATGCAATTCTGTGGGGAAAAAAATCAATACGCTTTTATTTCTTTTGTTATGCAGTGGTGAAAAGGTGAAATCGGCAGAAAAGAGGTCACGTTCAAAGTCACTTCAATCCCCTTTCTTCCTCATTCTGATGCTCAGTTTGAACTTGACCATGTCTGCATGACTAAATGCATTGCTATGCTGCCATGTGATTGGCTGAGTAGAAATTAGTGTTAACGAGCAGTTGTACCTAATAAAGTGGCCGGTGAGTGTACATTACTTCATGTCATAAGGAATCATAAGGATTTTTCTTTGTGCCTGTTGTCTGGGTTAGCTTAACCTGACCAGTAAGCTTTCTCTGGTCAAGATAGATTGCAGATCCCTGACAACATTGCTGTGAGCAGAAGAGCTGAATAATAAAATAATTAGGCTCCATTAATTGAAGGTGGAGTGGTGTGTAATCTGTGGAAAGCCTGGCAAATTAGCAGCATCTCCCTTGGCAACTGCACTCGACAATACTCCCATGTCGTCCTCACAATCCCTGTGGTGATACCAGTCGCTAGCAGACGTGCTAACCTGGCTGATTTTCTCAAGTAATGATCTGGAAAACTAGCCCCAGCGGTGTGAGCTCTGGCTAACTATTCAGTTTTACATTGATTACAGTGCAGGTTTGGTGCTGTCATAACTGCTGGGTTTCACACTGTTTCTTCATGTTGTCCCAACGCAGGATCGATTAAGTTAGCTTATGTTGTTGTTTTTTTTTTTTTTTTACAATTTTAAGTTTATTGATCATAAAACAATTGAGTTGTCCCAAAAAAAATCAAGACTCATGTTGTTTTAGCTTATTTTAAATGAGTCATTTGAACAAGCGACTATATATATATTTGGAGTGTACCACTATATTAAGCAGTAGGGGGAGCCACTGTGGTCTTTTTCTTCTCTAATTAGCAAGTTGCGCCTCTGAAGACGGAGAAAAAAGCGCAATGAACATCGAGGCTACTGGAAACAAAGCACTGGAAATGGGAAAACTGGCACCACTAGAAATAAGAGCACTGGGAGCACTGAAAATGGGAGAACTCAAAAGGACAACTGGCTCTACTGAAATGGGAGTATTGGAAATAGGATGACTGAAAATGTGTTCACTGGAAATGGGGGCACTGGAAATTGGACGACTAGCACTGGACTCCTTGTAATGGGTACACTGGAAATGGAAGCATTGGAAATGGGAAGACTAAAAATGGGAGCATTGGAAATGGGACGATTGGAAATGGGTACACTGGAAAAAGGACCACTGGAAATGGGGGCACTTGAAATTGGATGACTAGCACTGGACTCCTGGTAAAGGGTATACTGGAAATGGGAGCATTGAAAATGAGAGGAATGGATATGGGATGACTGGCACCCCTGGAAATGGGAGCAGTAGAAATAGGACCACTGGAAATGGGAGCACTGAAAATGGGACGACTAATAATGGGAGCTTTGGAAATGGGATGACTGGCACCACTGAAAATGGGAGCAGTGGAAACAGGACCACTGAAAACAGGAGCATTGGGAATAGAAGTACTGGAAATGGGACGACTGGCTCCACTGGGAACACGGAGTCCACTGGAAATGTGACCACTGGGAATTGGAGCAATTGGAAATGGGACTACTGGAAATGGGAGCACTTGAAATAGAACCCCTGGCAGCACTGGAAATAGGAGAACTGAAATGGGACAACTGGCACCGCTGGAATTGGGAGCACTGAAAATGTAAGAATTGTAATTGGGAGCACTGAAATTTGTACGACCGGCACCAGCGGAAATGGGAGTACTAGAAATGGGAGCATTGAAAATGTGACTACTGGAAATGGGACCACTCGAAATGGGAGAACTGGAAATAGGACAACTGGCACCACTGGAAATGAGAGCATTGAAAATGGGAGCACTGGAAATGGGGCGACTGGCACCACCGGAAATGGGAGTACTAGAAAAGGGAGCACTGGAAATGGGAGAACTGGAAAAGGACGAGTGGCACCACTGGAAATGGAAGCACTAGAAATTCGAGCATTGGAAATGGAATGACTGAAAAATGGAGCACTGGAAATGGCAATGCTGGCACCACTGGAAATGGGAGAACTGGAATTAGGAGCACTGGCAATAGGACCTCTACAAATGAGAGCATTAAAAATGGGACCACTAGAAATGGGAGCACTGGAAATGGGACCGCTGAGAACCCTGGTAATGGGATGACAGGAAATGGGAAAACTGGGTCCACTGGAAATGGGAGCATTGAAAATGGGAGCACTGGACATGGGACAACTAGTACCACCAGACAAGGGAGTATTGGAAATGGCAGCATTAGAAATGGGACGACTAGAAAATAAAAGCATTGAAAAAGAGAGGGCGAAGCAGTGGCGCAGTAGGTCACAGCAAGAAGGTCGCTGGTTCGAACCTCAGCTCAGTTGGCGTTTCTGTGTGGAGTTTGCATGTTCTCCCTGCGTTCGCGTGGGTTTCCTCCGGGTGCTCCGGTTTCCCCCACAGTCCAAACACATGCGGTACAGGTGAATTGGGTAGGCTAAATTGTTCATAGTGTGTGTGTGGATGTTTCCCAGAGATGGGTTGCGGCTGGAAGGCCATCTGCTGCGTAAAAACTTGCTGGATAAGTTGGCGGTTCATTCCGCTGTGGCGACCCCGGCTTAATAAAGGGACTAAGCTGACAAGAAAATGAATGAATGAATGATTGAATGAATGAATGAAAAAGAGAGAGCTGGAAATGGGGCGACTGGCACCACTGTAAATAGGAGCACTGCGAATGGGACCACTGGAAATGGCACCCCAGGCACCACTGGAATTTGGAGAACTGGAAATGGGAGCACTCTAAATGGGACGACTGGGACCAATCTAAATGGGAGCACTTTTATTAAACATTTATAAACATGTTTATACATTTCTAAACACATTTATTTTTTATCTAAAAACTTGTCACTATACACTGCCATTATATGAATCACCAAACACCAGTTCAGCTGAACATCGTCTTCTGTAAATGTTCGAGTGAAGAATGAAAGGTCACCTGTATCCAGGATTACCTGTGGGGGAGTAAATTAACAGGAAATTGAAATGAGCGGGTGAACTATCCCTTTAAGAAAACCAACAGCTCCAGCCAACAGAGGGCAGTCGAGATGAAGAATGCATGATATAATTCGGGACTACTTGCTAATATTTTATATCGTCTACTGTGTGTGCTACTATAAATAACACCGAATTAAGCTCAACTCAGTGCCATCTTTGAGTGAAACTAATGTGAATGCGCCGGTGGCGTCGCTAGTTTTACCTTCCTCCATCCCAGTAAAAGCCCACCCACCACCCATCCACTCCCACTGGAGCAGAAACACGACTCCTGCCCCGCACTCAAACCCCCAGCGCTGGCTCTAACACACGGCTGGAGGGGCTCTTTGTCTCCATTTCGAGGAGTTTTTTTCCTGGTGGATTCAGCATGGAGAGCAGCTTGACACATCCAGAAAAACCGACGAGCACGCGCTCCTGAAACTCTCGCGGGGACGAGCAGCTACCAACTGGATTTTAGCATTCAAACAACAGCCCAACACTTGCAGTATTTGTACATACACGAACTTTTAAGCCTTTAATTTATTTTAATCGCGTTCATCGACTTTAAACATGGGTTTATGGACGAGAAGACGCGGACGCAAACTTGCAAGCGCGGAGAATGTTTTGCTAGCGCTCACTTTGATCGGCGAAGGTAAGAGTAAATATTTCACATTCACGCTTTTGTCATCTTTGTGGGCTGTATTTTCACTTCTTTTTCGCACTTTGTTAATAGTTTGGACGTATATGTTTATTTAACTACCAACCAAACTTGTTTGGTAGCGTTTAGACCGGATTTAATCTGGATTTATGAGAGTTTGTGTTGTGTTTGCTAATACAAATGTTACTTTTAGCCAGTGTCTGAGTAAGTTTATTCAAAATGATAGTTAATAGTAATGAATTACTATTTACATCATTAAAATTTAATTAAATTTGTTTTTTTTGCTTAGTCTGAGAAGTAACTTAGTTACTCAGGAGTAATTAAATTAATTAGTAACGTTAGTAAAAATCCGCAGCTCTTACAGCTAAAACACACGGTTTGATTCAGATTTAAAGAAATATGTACAAAAAAACACTACATTTATCAAAACACAAATGAATGAAACTATATTTCATACAAACAATATAAAACACACAAAAAATCAGTGTTTTTCAATCATTTTACTGCACTTTAAAGTTCAAATGTTTGAATATAAAACAAACTTAACCTCAATGTGCAATTGTCAGATTAATAAATCGCCTTTTTTTCAGTCGAAACATTGTCAAAACTGTTTTAATTTATTCAAAACATGTCTGCTTTTATATTCTTTCTTTAATCTTCACAATTATTTTCGTAAGCATAATCAATTATCTTGTTAAATGCTATTAATTTTCTTACATTTGAAATTATTCAGCAGGTTAAAAGTACTATACTTATCTGAATTAATTTATATATAACAGTTGAGTTTATGTAGTGTTTAAGTCTAGCACATTATAAGCGACTTTTTAAGTATGTTAACTTTTTCAATGAAAAAGTAATCTAATTACAGTAACTAGTTACTTTGTTCTTCTTTACACCCAGTGCTGTTTACAATTAAACAAATGGCTACATGTTTTGTGTGAGCGAGTGTATGAATGAATGAATCGATCCACCCTCCTTTTCCAGAAATTCAAGTACAGTCATGGCTGAGGAGGCCTGTAATAATAATAGTCTGTGAAAGGAGGGCAAGAATGTAGAAATGGGTCCGTCTTCTCTTTTTATCTCTCCACTAGATATGATGCATGCTCTGCATACTTGCAGCCCACTAAGTGAACTTCTTGATTTAGGTACAACATGAGCTGAATATTAATGGCAGCAGCTTGGACTCCTTGAATTTTAAGTAGACTTTGCTTCGTTCAAGTCAAAGTTTATTTCTACGCACAGCATGAAATTCCAGATAATACAGACACTACAGTGTGTAAGCCTGGTTAAAATGTGTCACATTTTACTTAAGAATACTATAGTAAGGTTATAAGGCTTGGAGATATGACAGAAATATCATTATATATATATATATATATATATATATATATATATATATATATATATATATATATATATATATATATATATATTGATATTGATATTGATATATTGATATATAAAGCACATTTAAAAGACTATTTTTTATAGTATATGTTAAAAAGCTACTTGTTCATATGTAATAGTATTTCTTATTTTGCTTAGAACTTCAGGGCAATGTTTAATAAAAAAAGTAAATATTAAAAAAAGCTTTTTAGAAACTAATAACTGCAGGGACAACATAAAAGAAAACACTGTTTACAACTAAATGCAAACCTTCTTTGTTACAGCTTTCTCACTATATACATGTTTCTGTGTGTATCCCTGTCATAATGTGGAACAGATACATTATTACATTATTAAATATACATTATTAAAAATACTACTGTAAACAATGTGTTTTGTGAACCCACAAAATAAACAATAGAACATAAATGTATTGACTCATTGTTTTAGATAGAAAGGTGGGTAGATAGATAGATAGATAGATAGATAGATAGATAGATAGATAGATAGATAGATAGATAGATAGATAGATAGATAGATAGATGCATAGATTGGATGGATGGATGGATGGATGGATGGATATACGGACTAGACATATAGATAGATGGGTTGGTAGGTAGACGGATGTATTGATGGATGGATAGATGGGTGAATGGATAAGTGGATGGATGGACTAGATAAATAGGTGTATGGATGGATGGACTATAGATTGATATAATGCCAAGATAGATGGACTAGATGGATGGATGGTTGGATGGATACATACATGGTTTGGAAGAAGTAAGGGATGGGGCAATGTTGCCAGAATATAGAGTTTTACGTGAACTGTCCCTTTAAGAAAGCTTACTGTTAACCAGCTTATGGTTGTACTGTAGTTAGTTATTGTGCGTGCGTGCGTGCGTGTGCGTGCGCGCGTTTGTGTGTGTGTGTCCTGTAGTGAATGTGCTTGTCTAGAGTCTTTGTGGAGTTTATCTTCAGCAGTTTCGGGAGGTGTATAAGGCTCCAGTATGAACAGCAGTAGATGGTGTTCAGCAGCTGAAAGAGTTTTCTGTTCGCCTCTCAGCATTGGTCATTAACCAGCACGAATGCAGACCACAGACACGCTCACGGTTTCTGATCAAGATATTTGCATGATATTGATGCGCGATAATCGATTAATCAAACATTGCTATTTTTTATTCATTCTGTGATATATATTGGAATATGTAGGTTCCACCAAACCCAAAGCTGCTCTATTGGATTGAGCTCTGGTGACTGTGGAGGCCATTTGAGTACAGTGAACTCATCGTCATGTTCATCAGTCTGAGATGATTGAGCTTTATGACATGCTGCGTTATCCTGCTGGAAGTAGCCATCAGAAGATGGAGACACTGTGCTCATAAAGGGATGGACTTTAGAAAAGCTGTGAGACCCTGTTTTTTATTTGTTTGAGTTCTGTTTTGATTAAAAAAAATCTTGTTTTTTGTTTTGTGATGCGTTTATGTTTCTGACCTCATTGGCAGATTATGTTGCTTAATTCTTGCTTAGTTCATTTCTGAAAAACAACGCAGTATTTTTTTGCTCGTCTAGAAAATGCTTCTTGATTTAAGAGTTTTTAGATTTTTGGACTAGAAATGAGACAAAGGCAACGCATTTTCAGCAGTGTGTTGCTGGGAAAATTGTGTTTGTTAGTTAAATGCAGCTTTAAAAATGCTTACATTTGGTGTAAGACCCTTTTTTAATTCGTTTGAGTCTTAAACATTTTAATTTAGTTGAAAGTTACGATTTTCGATGGACTGGAAAACTTTTGTCTCGTTTCTAGTCCAATGTCTAAAACCCCCTAAATCAAGAAGCATTTTTAGATGAGCAAAAACAATGTGTAGTTTTTAGAAATGAGTCTAAATAAAGTGAGTTTTACGATTGAAACAAGCTAAATAATCTGCCAACGGGGTAACAAAAATAATCTTGTTTTTCATTTTGACATAAGTTTTTGTTTCTGACCCCATTCTCAGATTATTTGGCTTAATTTTGACTCATTATTTCTGAAAACATGACGATTTTTTACTCGTCTAGAAATGCTTCTTGATTTAACCTCTCAAACTTCAGGTTCATGACGTCATCGACTTTCACTTTAAGATTCAAAGGGCTGCATTGCACCAGACCCCCTTAATTGGTTTGAAAGTGTAGAATCTATATTTTATGCACATATCTGCATCACTTCAGTTTTATTCTACTGAAAAGTTATTAAATACACAGTATTTTGGATCCCCGAGCTGGGTATTGAACATTGGTTCATTTTCATATTTTTCATATGACACATGTAAAAGTTATAGCTCAAATGAAAGCTCTTGCCGGTGCTCATACGGTTCTAGCGTTCTGTTTACTGAATTATATTCACATATCAAACAGTTGCTGAATGAATCTCGGTGTTTCCATGGCGCAGAAGTGAAAACAATACATTAATGATCAATAAGCAGCCCCAGATAGCACAGACAGCTCATCTCTTACCTTATGCTGTGCGCTTCAGGGCCATTCTCCTCTGTTTTTGAGCTGATGTGCATAAGTAATCCTTTTATATGTCTGACGTGCTCCAAACACAGTGAATTATGTTTGATCAAACAAAAGAATAGTGAAATATGAACACAATGATCGCTCCCTGTGGCTTGTACAGCACCTCTCATCAGCTGGAACACAATAACTTCTGCATAGATTATGGTGGAGACATTTCTCTTTTGTCCTATGATTACAGACATGTGCAGGAACCACCAACATTAATTACAGCACGCTATAGCACACACAACCTGAAAAATACACTGTCAAATTTGAGTTTATAAAAAAAAAAAATACAAAAAGCGCCTCTTTTTTTAGGTGTTTATTATAACACAGACGACATATACAGATATTTTAAACACTTTCAATAGTGTTTTATGAAAATGTAAAGGCTTTTCTTTAAAATGAGACCAATTTTTTGCATTTACACCTCTGCATGTGGATTTGGGAAGCTTTTAAATTTGAGTAGGCAAAATCCAGGTGGAAATCCTAAACTAGCACTGGGGTTTAAGAGGTTAAGAGTTTTAGATGTTTGAACTGAAAGTGTGTAGCTGGTAAAGTTGGAAAATTTGGAAAATTCACCTGGAAAGTGCTTGAATTAATTAAAAATCAAGTGAGTTTTTCCTTAAAACAAGCTAAATAATCTGCCAATGGGCTGACAAAAATAATCTTGTACTTCGTTTTGACATGAGATTGTCTTGTCTCCCATTGATTCGCTTGTTTTAATGAAAATCTCACTTCATTTAAACTCCGTATCTCTGAAAACAACACAATGTTTTGCTCAGTGTTATCAGATATCTGTGCTGTAAATGAGACAGACTCATTTATTTTCAGTGCAGTGATCAGTGAGTTTGACTGAGATTGCGGTGGTCTTTGTTGGAGGAGGGTCTGTCCTCGGGCTGTTGGAGAAACGGCAGCATTTACATGAAGAGCCGGAAGATGAAAGGCAGGATTGTAGGATCTTTCACAGGTAGTTGCTGTGTCTGCTTGATCTCGGGGACGCAGGAGGTCCATCTCCTGTCTTTCTCATGCAAATCACAGACAGTCTGGAGGAGCAGACCCCCGCGGAGCTGCTGGAG